AACACTGCTGATAATATTAATAAATTCTTGAAACATGAAAAAGAAAACAGACGAATCGCACGGAATTGGTAATGTCTAAACTCTAAGTTACTGAAATTACTGTTCTGGAAGGAATACATACATTCCTACTCATTTTACGATTTGCTTATTTAAAGTTTAACAATGTCTCATTTTTCAGTTCTTTTGGTTATGACTTCAAAAAAGACAAATTCACTTTGAACAAACGTAATTTACAGTTTGTTAAATTTATTGGACGATAAATGAAGAAATGTAGCTGGAATTTTTAAAAAGCTTGGTATTAATTTCGCTGCTGTTGTAAATCCGAAGAAATCTAGTGCAACGCTTACACTCCTTATATTTGAAGGAATTTTTCCTGAAAAAAAAGAAAATAATGTGAAAATGTTTGCACATATTATCCCATATAACACAATTACATCTCGATTCTTCGAAAATCGTTGTTGAAGACTGGGAACAAGGGCCAGAAGTAGAGGATATGTTTCCAGAGGATATGTTCACAAGCAATTTCAAACAATCAAACCTAACAACGATAGCAAACAACTAACCATTATTATCAAGAAACAGATATTCATTGCTCAGATCAGCCGTTAAAAGTACACATCCAGTTTTCTTCAACATCCGATAATCGCTAGCCAAGCATGCCACGCCTCTTCCAACAAAATCAGGAGTTTCTCCTTTTTCTACCATACGCTCTATTTGAGCCTGCAATTATTTAGGTAATTTAAGTAAAGAAACGTTTGTTATATGTCATCAATTTCTGATATGCATACAGAGTTTGCTCGACAGTGGGTTGTCTTGTAGACATCGCTTATTTGTGACAACATTGTCTTTCAAAGCAAGATTATACGAAATTCAAGTGAATTGTAATTATGAAAAAGCTAAAATAGGCAGCTGTCAATGACAAAAAAAATTTTGAGCAAGTATAGAGGCGCTGCCTGAAAATACGAGAAACTCAATATTTAGATACAAGGTATTCCACTAACACAAGAGACCTGAGGCATTTTCGTAAGTTTGCTTAGTATTCCAGATCGTAACCAATCATATGATTTTTCAGTTTTCACTGTTCCAGGCCATAATGATACTACCGTGATTTTATAAGCCTTCAGTTCTTCAGCCATATCCGCGGACATTTTATCGATCTAAGTTTTCCAAAAAAATTTTTACATGTTAACAGGATGATGATACTGATAAAACGATAAAACGATAATAAAACAGGAAATTCTCATAACTTTAGAAGGAATTATTAGAATACCTAACAACAATCTTAAAACATGTAACAATTACGTATCACGTATCAGCTCATAGCTTTAGAAGGAATCATTAGAATTCCCAACAGCAATCTTAAGACACGTAACAATCACGTATCACTTATCAACTGGTTCTCTGTAACCCGATCGCTCGAGCTGTTCAACTCGTTCAGCGCGCCATATAAAAAAATATTTCATGGCTAAAATTTCCAAACGTAAATCTCAATCAACCATTCATCAGCAATGTTATATTACTGGTCCGTAGGCACTTCTAACACTTTGCTGAAATTTATACGTGTAAAACAATTAATTATCATTTTAAGCAAAGAACCTACAGCAGCTTTACCCACTCCGTAGGGCACATTGAAAAAGTAGCGCACGCCAGCCGCTGAACTGATATTCACAATTAGCCCCTTTTGGCGTGGAACCATCATGCGTGAAGCTAATACCGAGCAAATATAAACGTTTCGCAAACCAACATTGTTTATCTCATCCCAAAATGATGGATGGCACTCAAAGAATTTTTTGCCGACATTTTTTTCCATTGCCTGCGAAATAAGGTGCTCAGGGAACAAAAAAGCAATAAAAAGCATTAAAAAAAACAATTTTTAAAATAACTACTGGAAAATTCTACAAAAGTATTTTTCAAAAGTATTTATCCATGACTCAATTTGGTATTTGTGGAGTAAGGAGGACCATTTCAGTGATATAAACCGAATCATGAATAAATACTTTTGGTATAAATTAACACAAATTCTAGTTAATTAGCAATGGTCTTTTCAATGTCCCAATCAATCGAGGATTGTGGATACGAAATAACCATATGACCTGGAACAATATCAGTCACCAAGCAGTAGTTAACAAACCTTAGACAGGGAAAAAAAATTGGTAACAGAAAGAAAATACGACTGAAGGTAGTTTAATAATACCAATGAAATAAAACCGACTAACAAATCCCTAATATTTCATTGACAACAGACTAGTTCATTGCTTTCAAAAGTCCAATTATTTTTTTCACTTTACTTGACATTCCCAACAAAAGCATACAGTGGCTCCTGAGAATGCATTATTGACCAGCACATCCAATCGATTGTTTTCATCCTTCGATATTCTTTCGAAAAGTTCTTTAACTTCATCGTCTTTACTGTGGTCGCAGTAAACTGCAACAGCTTTATCACCTCTGCTTGATATTTCTGAAAATGTTACAGTTTTTTTATGTAGGTTACAAGAATGGAAAGGTATTTACTTCCCAGATAATAGTTCTTTCCCTACGTGCAACATCTTTTACCAGGCGACACTTGGAATCACTAATAAATATTACCAGTTAAAGAACAAATGTTAACGATAATAAAAAATCATTAATTCCCTTAAGCCTCTTTGCATGTAAGGTAATAATAACACTATGGTGAAAAGCGTGTAATTTTAGTAGTGAAAAAAGAGATAAAGCCTGACCATTGACGGTATCATGTAAAGTAGGTATACGGGGAGTAGAATCTGGTTTCCGTCCCGAAATATATACTGTTGCACCGGCTTCAGCAAGTTGCAATGCGACACCTCTACCAACACCTCGTGCACCCCCAGTTACCAAAGCTATCTGCCCACTCAGTGGTTTTATTTGTTTCGATGCCTTCTGCGAAGCCTGAAATAATATCGACTAAGTCGACTTAATATAATATTTGCAACTTTGTCTGAATTTACAAAGAGCAGAATTGGGTTAATTTAATATTGTATTAAATTATCCTACCTAACTTTATCATTTTGAATTAACTTACCTAATAACTCATATAAACAATAAATCAGGCAATTTAACAGTTTTTCATCAAAACCATAAGATAAACATGCATCTTTGCTATTTCTGCATCCTTCCTCTTTTTATTTACTTAATTAAATTTTGCTCGATTATGTGATTGCATTACATCTTACATGACCTTATAATTTATGCGTGAGGATGCCGAAGATTAGAAAACAATGCGAACTTCCCTTAGAGATTACATTCATGAATGTTATTCGTAAAAATTTATGTTGCCTACATAAATCAATAATTGAATAATCGAATGAGTCAATAATAATTGATAATTGAATAATCGAATAATTGAATAATCGAACGGATTATGTTTAATTTAATGGTTAACGATTGCTTCTTTATCTCTATGTAATCACTACAACACACCCATTTATAGTTGTGCTGACTTCTTGTGAATATTGCATTTAATCAGAAAAATTGGATGTGAAAGCAACCCAAACTATCGACTGTCGAAAATAGCTGGGAGACGAAGAAAACATCTCACGACATAACCAACGACCCAATAAATACATCCTGGAATACAATAGTGATGTATCGCGTATTGGATTGGACCAGACAATATTTTGTTGCTTGGTGAAGACAGTAGGACTTCATGTACTAAGATTTCACACAATGGCAACTTATGAATACCTCCTAACTCCTAAACAAGTGTCTTCTTATGCAGGATGTAATAGTCATAACATTGGAATTTAGCAAGACGACCGAATCCAACTCCCTCTATGAGACGGACAGCGAAAGGTACTGGCATGGCAGTGATCTGCTTCTTATTCTTACTCTTTCTCTTTCCGTTTTTAATCAACTTTTATTTCAGTTTTTCAAATTTTTAGTGAACTTTTATTCATTTGTTAAGCATAAAAACAAGCAGAAGCTATCAGCATAAATTTCATAATAAAGTATCAATATCGTTAGAATAAAAAGGTTGAAAAGCAGTTGCCATTATTGATTAGATGAAAATTTAACTCAGTCAGTTTTTTAGTATCGTTTCTCATTGCTATTCCTTTCCTTGAATTTAACTGAGTAGACTGCTAAAAGATGACATTCTTCACAAGAGTTCAATTTGTTTATGAAGGTCAAGAATAACAAAAATTTTTTTACTAGACATCATGTGAATTAAAAACATAGAAACACAGAATAAATGCTGGAAAGAATTGAACACTACATTAGAAATAAGACGGATAAATAGGAAATATGCCGCGAAAATCACGTGTCTAACCGCAGCATAAATTGCAAGAGGTATTGGACAAATTTTCAAATGCAAAATGTGCATACCAAACCGGTCATTTAAAAGTGATCCAAAAGAGTGTGTATCGCGTAATGCTTCAAATACTTCATACTAACAGGAGAGGAGGTTTTTCAGTAGTGAATGCACAATTTGATAGGTAATAGTTTTCCAATATTATTCATTGTTAATCTTCTTTGACGAACCAAGAACTGCCATTTGGAAAGAAGCACATGCTTGAGAAAAAGAGAGCAACTGTTCACTGCTAAATTTTCTTACTGGACAAACACCTGAAATATTATGACGATATGAAAGCTTTCTTGAATTTTTGGGAAATTTTTCAAACTATTTCCCACTAATTTATGCAGCTTTAATAAAAAAGATCGTTTCACTGCGCGAGTTAGTGATTCTTAAGTGACCTTAAGCAGCTGCCGAGTTATCGCTTTGGTGTGATGAACTGATCTTATGAGTAAGATGGAGAGTACAGAAAGCTTTCTTGAATTTTAGGAAAATTTTTCATTGATGTAGCTACGTTGATGTAGCTATAAATAGATCTTTGGACTTCATCATAGGGTACGTATATATTTCAGAATAAATTAAGGAATATTTCAGAATAAATTTTGACCAGCTTACTTTCAATTTCCAATCTAATGTTAGTGATTATAATTGCGATGTCTTCATGCTAAACAATCGTATATTGGGCTCATCAAAAAGATCGGTAAAATATTAGAACACTGAAAGTAAAGATACCTGCTAATGCTGCAACAACTGAATTCTCAAGAAATACGTGATAAGCTTTTCTTAGAGAACCAGCATCATCATAATATTCGTCTTTGTCTCCATCCGGCTTCATATTATTCATATTGTTATTGTTATTTGATTCACTACTTCCAATACTTCCATTCGGTAACTTTTCCGGTGACTTCATGGCAAGCCTCTCTTCCGCATTGTCATGTTCTGATAAGGATGAAGAGCCTACACAACTGTTTCCATTGTTTCTTTCGCATGCAGCCACTGATATAGGGTCTTCAACATTCACTAGTTCCTGACCCTTTATGAAGGGAGGAATGAAACCAAACTGAGACCGACTGCTATCTAGAATTAACCATCACAGATATTGCATTTTGGTATATATGGGAAATCTAGCATCACGATTCGTTTTAGGATTGTAAGGATTGCTAAATATTTTGAAACTATGTGATTCATCACTACATTTAATTTCTAAGGTAAACAGCATCATTCGGCGATGAAAAATATAGATCAATGTGAGTTTGCTAAATTTCCGAAAGGATGACATATAATAAGACTGAAACGAGCACCCGCTTTAGTTATACTAGCTAGGTAGCTGAAGCAGTTAATATGTTATCCTACAAAAGCATTCGTCAAGAACTGATATCTTAGAATATCTCAAAAGGCATATTTTTCAAACTGCATGAGGAGTTGGAGTAATATGAAATATAAAGAAATGAACAAACAATAAAAACAGCAACCTTGCTCTCGGTTCCTTTGCCCGACTTCGAAGGAAGGTATAATTCGATTCCCTTTCGAATCTGGTTGTTCTGACAATTTATTGGTTGCTTCGCCATTATCCAAACGTATGACCGAATAGGGTGTGAAACGTTTAGAACCATTTTGGAATGGATTCACATAACTATATTTAGCTGAAGATTTGCAAGTTTCATTTCCGGAAGTTTCAGAGGTTGTTTTACCTAACACTTCAGGAGCATCAATAATGCTCAATTCTTGCACTATCTTAGAAGAAACTGCTTGATGTTCTTCGGTAGATTGGAGATTAACTTCTTCCAAGCAGTCAGCCGGCGAATTTAATGGACGTTTCATGATTTTCTCCAATTCAATGGCGTCTGCCTTACTCACCATATTCTTCTACAATGAAATCATATCTTCCAAAAATAAAAAATTAAGTATGGGATACCGAAAGACACTTTGCAAGGTAAATCCCAATTTCTCCGAAAAGTAAACACCTTTTAATTCGTTTTATTCAGGTGAAATAAAGATGAAAAGTGTCCAAGGTCATGCTCACATTATTGCTATTTCAAGAGAAAACATTTCCCACTATAACGCATGTATCATAACTCGGCAAGCTATAATCAGCATATAATTTTATCCCTATGTCATTACAGATTCATATTAAAGGCAACACTAGAATACGAATAGTCCCAGTTGGATAAATATCCCCCAGCACCTCTTTTTTGTTATAGAAAAAAAAAAAATACCATCCTGAAGTGATCCTCAAGCGCTCCCAGAAAACGACTGAGTTTCGGATCTCGAAATGGAAATGTTTCAATGTCCTCCTCTGACATACAAGCCAGATCACCAACAGTTGCAACACCACGTGACTTCATTAGAGACCGTAGAGCAAGAGAACTGAACATGATATTTCAAATTTAATTCATAAAACCAGTAAATACTGCCATATTACTTTCTGACAAAATATTCTCTAATCGTTACAGTAAAAAAAGAAAATTATTACATGTACTAGGAAGAGTACCTCATTGTTGGAGCCAATTTAAGATATATCTGTGGTGGAATCAATTCCTCTGATCCAATCAGCGCCGGAAAAACTGCATCAGCAGGATTTCTGTTGGTGGGTGGTATAGGTGGTCGCTTTAAAGGTGAAGTCGATTCAGAACGGTCAATGGGCTGGAAAATGTTCATTGAAAATTACACAGAGGGTTCTTGTAAACTCCAGACAATTTATTTGTTGATTTCCATAGTTTATACAACTTGAATCTTTCTATTATTAAAATAAACAACAGAGACCTTTGTTTTGCATTATGCTGCATTTCCATTAAGCAAGTTATGTATTTTTCTTGAAGATTTTGAAATAAATTTAATTGAACTTTGGGGATGAATACATCACAAAAGTCACCGGTAGTCCAGAAAATAACGAATTCTTGGATCGTCGAAAAATTTTTCTACGTGGAAGACCATTAATATCGTCATCGTCTAGAGTTGAGGCATCGAAGTGAACACGTTTGCACTTAAAAACATCTTATCAAAAAAATTGATCGAATAATCCGTACAGCTTATGATAGCAGTTCGGCCCTGTCATGGCCTCATACATGATCTTTCGAAAGGGAATAGTAGTCATCATAATATTATGCTTAGTCCATAAACCGCTATTTCATTACACGTAGATAAAATCACTTAGAAAAATGAAACTGGCCAAGAAATTCCTTTTCGATTGTCAGATCTTTCTAGTTTCACACGCTTTAAAAATTTTTCCTCCCCAATAGGAAATTACTTTTTTTGCACTGGCTGAAAAGAATTTGATCGGCGGACAAATTGCTCTTCTTCCACATTTTTTCAAGATGCTATTTGGTGTTCTCATCGGTTCGTCCTCATTCGCCTTTGGACTAACACTTTCCAAATGTGATTCGGCGATTTCCTGAAATTTAAGAAGTTTTCTGTTGTACAATACATTTACGCAGATTCGCAATTCAAGCCCATAAATCTTAATGCAACAACAATTCTTCCATAAACAAAGACCAAGTCAATGCTCATAATGAGACAAAAAATAGTCAGATCATCAATACTGAGAGAAGAAAAAAACATGACTTAAACTTGCCCAAAGATAGATGTTCCTAACTTCTATGAGACAAAATATCGCAAAAAATTACAGGAGTTTTACATTTCATCGAAAGTGTTGGTCCTTCCAAAACTTTTCGCTCAGTATCTCTCATATGTTCACCTAACAAAACGATCGCTAATTCACCACTGTCCTCTTTTTTGGTGCTGGTTTGACTTTGAAGGACTGAAATACTTGAGTATATTCCTAAGACTTCGCAAGTTGTAGAGTGAGTAAGATCTGTCTTAAGTAGTGATTTCTCTAATATTCTTTAAAGATTCTCTTTAAAGAATGGAATGAGGCAAAACGCCTTAACCTGGACTATTTTCCATCAAATAGTATTTTGTAGAAGATGAATAGAGTGAAAACAAAAATTCCTGGGAATTTTGCAAAATACCAACCAGAAGGGTTATTTTTGCACAGTTCATCAAATTTCACAGCTTCATCATCCTGCTTGTCCTAAAAAGTTGTCAACGATAAATGAAACGTCAGATTAAGAGAACTGAGGAAAACTTGAAAAACTAATCAAACATTGGTCACAAATTTAGAAGTCTAGTGAATCAAAGTGAGTGCTCGCATTAAGTTTACAAGCCTTGTCACAATCTTTTTAATACATTAAATCATAGGAAGATTTGTAAATCAAACCTCTAGAACTATCGAGTTTTTTATTGCTACAACATTGTTACAACCACTACCTGTATCACCCACATAATTATCATTTTCGTTAGAATCTCCAGTAAGATCCTGATTTCTAGATTGAACACAGATGCGTGAATTAGCTACATAGTTATATTCAGCATCGCGTTTCTTTACCAGTGATGCTGTTTTAGAAGCTTTCATTGCTGATGAGCTGGAATTTGATATTTGTTCATTTGTGAATTTACATTTCATTAATGTAAATCACTACATTACAGCTGATCAGCTCAGACCTAGAGATATCATCAGGTTACTTTTTCTCTATCTTCATTTATTTTAATTAGGAAATACAATTTCAATTTCCGTCATGTAAACATATTGTTAGCTCTATTACCACATTCACATCCTACTTATCCTAGAAAACTACATGTGTTCGAAAAAAGCAAACTTCTCTTGCGAAGAATTATCAGCATATCCCGGTGGAATCCGTGCTGCTAAATCGATTGATTGACTATCTTCAACAAGACATAGCAAGCTATCACTGAAACAAACAAATGTTATTCAAGAATTGATTTCTCTACAATTTGTGGTTGGTAAATGCAATCTTTTTCTAACCTCCTTTCCATTAGCTTTTCTTTCTGATGATCAGTTAAATGCATTTTCTTTTCAGAATGCGATACATCAATGACTGCGTACTCGTCCATATCGTTATCCTTCACATGTTTTAGCATTCTACACTTTGAAACTGAAGGTTCTGTACTCTTTGAGGGCGACTGCTCAAAGTTCTAAAAGTAAAAAGAAACTTAAATCACCTTTAGGTTTTAATTTCTCCAATTTTTCGCAAAGTTTTGATCTTCTTAATCAATCAAAAAAGACCAAGTGAATAATCCCACTGCATATAGTAAGTCAACATTTTGTTTTAGACTGAAACTTAAAATCATAATGTTTCAAACGATGAACTTGGGTCATGCATGCAAGTAAAATAAGCAATAAAATGATCGCTGTTAGCAGTGTAAACTTAAGTACATGAAGGAAGAAAATAATTTGGAGGAAGCAAAAAGAACGAAATAGATGGATGTAGTTCTGAATTGAACAGTAACAGTTCAAACGTAGCATAACCAAAGAAAACAAAATGAGAATAGGTTTATAACTGTATAACTCTGATTATTCGACTTACATTTTTATTTGTTGTGTCGTTACTCCCATCTGCAGAGAAGTCAAGATTTGTGTCATAAGATATGGATGCCTTTGAATTATCCAGCACTGGAAAATCTTTCTGTTCCGAAACGAAATTTCTCGATGCACATTTGGCCTGCTCCAAAGCAGTGCTGAAGAATAAATTATAAGGAAAATGGAATAAGTCACAAAAGCCTTAATTTTTTTACGTCTTATGTAATTTCAATCTACACTGCTCAACAACAACCATATACCATTTAATCATTTCTTAAAATGAGTGGGCCTATGATAATCTGAACTATACCTTTTACTTTTAAAAGTATCACGAAGATAATTCAAGCATCCTGAAGCGAAAGAATAAATCGTGTAAATGGATAATAAAAGGGTGGGTATAGTTATGAAATAACCAGCAGCAAGATTATCTTTTCCTACAAACAATTTTAAGATGAGAAAACAACCGGTAAATGGAGAGAAGAAATATGAGGATGAAGCAGGCAAATTAGTAGAAAAACTGAACTTTCTCAAAAATAAGGATTAAAAACAAGCAAGTAAAGAAGTATAACACGATTCGATTTTCCGGGCAAATTCCAAATGAAAACCAACCTCAATTCATCTGAAATATCGAGATGACTTGCACGACCAAACGTTTGTTGCCAGAAATTGACAATGCAATGATGTAAACGTGATAGACGCAATCCTTTAATGAAAACTGGCTCTAACTGGTCGAGTAATGAAGTGTCATATGGTCCCGAATAATGTTTTCTCAGAGTAGTCAGAACTATTCTCACCAGCGCGGCAACCTATTTTCAAAAATTATTAAAGCTTTTAAAAGTAACTGAAATTAGAGTCAATACCGGCTATTGCCAGCTCAAATATTAACGCAAGGTACTGAGATACTACTGAACACCGAGCCCTAGATTTCCAACTTTAAAGGTTTGTGTTAATTTCTTCAATTTCATAATGTGGAATTTTCATTTTCAAACATGAATATAAAACTTTCATTTCTTAAAACTTTGTGTCGAGCCAAAAATTGCACTAACGTTTTTTGTCTGGTTTTTGTAAAACATCCGACAATCTTTTTCCGTCACCAAAAAAAGACAGGTGCTTATGAATTCAGACAAAGCACCAACAACGAACAAAATGTGTGTCGGTTTAGTCATCAGAGATACTAGGCTTGTTGCTGCCTCCAAAATGTTGAAAATGGATTTAGACATCAGTTCAAGAGCAATGCCCTGGAAGACAAATTATAAAAGGTGAAAGTTTTTATAAAATTCAAGTTTTTCCGGAATTTAACAACAGAAACTTACGTGAAATGTTTTGTAGTAACAGGTTTCCGAAACAATTTCGAAATTATAATGTCAGCTTCCTTTCAGAACATGGAAACAAAATATCTGCTAGAGATACAAGACTTACAATTTGCTTATCGGCATGCTCTAAAAGCGTTTCAATTGAATGCCTTCCTGTTTCGATTATCAGCTTGCAGAAACTATCAAGAATGTTTCCCTTTCCGGATAAATCGAAGTCTAAAAGCAGACAATATTTCGTGGCAATATTATTATTGACATGCTCCTAATTTAGGAATCTAAATTCCTTAATCCTGAACGACACGCGATTCTTAGAAATCTGATAAAGCTGTCATCCAGACAACAAGAGTTCATTACATGAACGATGTAATGTCAACTTTTCCTTAAAAGCACATCAGGAAAAAAGTGAATTAATCGAATTTTCGTGTAATAAAATTGAAATAGAATTGATTTTTTTAAAAAAAAAAAGACAAAGATGGGGAGCAAAAAACAAGAGCAGACCTCCAACAAAAACGTCGCTAAGGACATCATAATTAAAGTATTCAATTTGAGCCCGAATTATTCGCGAGAAAACGAAAAGTAGTCGGCAATCCATCTAAAAAAATCAAAGACTCACAATGGACAAAAAAAACAGCTGTTGTAGATTTCCGAACAGTTATATGATTATGTACTCTGAGAAGCCAAATTATCATTCTAAATTCATTTAGTCAAAAAATGAAGACTGAGCAAAATACTCAAGCATAAGTTGAAATGACTAACACAAAGATAATCTGACTTTCTACAGATGAGGCTGAAGATTTAACAAAATGGATAAATCTGCTGCGAACAAATAAATTTAAAATATTTTATACAACCTTCTCACATGCAATCATTTGGCTTATTTGACTTGCTAATTTGATAGCGAATGTGCAGCACCGAATGGAATTTTGAGAACAAGCTTCAATGACAGCGTCATAAATATTCTCCCAAGCTTCAAATATGCGTATCATACTTCGCTGAAGCAAAACAAACATGATTTGATTATAAAACATCACATACATTATTAAGAAAGAAAACAATAAGTTCCTAAAAACAGTTGTTTTCGATACTGCTTCTTGGATGAAAAGTACTAAGTTCTTCTTGTTTTAAGGTGCATCAACGTAAAAAATGTTTTCAAGAAATCTGATTAATTCAAGGGGTGGAAAACTTACCGGTCTCACAGAAAACTCATCTTTTACTTTGACCTGCATAGGAGCCAATAAAAGTGTTTCAGCTATTTCAAGATACACTTCGGATCTTATTTCGTCATCCTAAATAATCGTTTTTAGTGCAATATCGATTTCATACCGAAAGGCTCACGAGCTGCACAGCTACAGTTACAACATCGCAATTATCATGTAAAAAGTTGTTTAACCAATGATATGCAGCCTTGTAAAATTGATTTAAGTTCATGCTTTATCTATGAAAAGCAACAAAGAAGCAAAAAAGAAGGAGAAGTCACCTTCAATTGACAAAAACTATCAGCAATTCTCATCCAAGAGGTAGTCACTTCATCCCACGTCTTCAGTGTTTTGATCATATCAACGGATATTTGACAGAATAAGGCAGCTCTGCCATTTCTGTTAGATCCACTGTTCAAAATGGAAGCTATACTCTGTGATTTGCATCGACTGAAAAAATCAAATTGGTCGATGAACATTTCCTGACGAATTCAATAATAAGCCAATTAATAGAGGGATTTTCGAAAATCTTCCTTCCACATTAATTTAACCTCCTCAGTCTTGGATTATTCGAATCTATTTTCGTACATTAGCTAAATATATTTTATCTACATAATCTTATCATTACATACTATCTACTTTAAGGTGTCATCCTTCTAGAAAATGACTAAAATATTCATCAGTGGCCATCCTCAGCCATTACAATTGATATTTCTAGTCTTAAATGATTAGACAACTGGAAGAGATATGGAACATTCAATATTAATAAACGAAAGACATGACAGAAAGGTAAGAGAGATGAACAGATAATTCAAGAAAATTTTACTTTTTCTTCCTTGATTTCGCCATCTGAATTCTCTAAACCTTCTGTGCCTGAAAACAAATAAAGTTGAGGAAGCATTTCTATCATTCCAACTTGTTATCATCCCCGGTTTCTCTCAGAACGCATCTCTACCAATTTGAAACCTGGCTCTCTCTCCCCGCACTTGCCCAATAAACATTCAAGAGAATTCAAATATCCGACATTCGCGCCATTTCTTCCTAGCTACACAGTGAGAAATTAAACACCGCCCATTGAGGAATAAATAGGGATGGAATAGGATGGAGTAGAAGAGATAGAGTGGAATTAAATAGAATATAATAGGGTGATAGAGTGGTATGGAATAAGATGGGAGAGATAGGGTAGAATGAAATAAAATAGAGTGGGATGAATAGGGTGGGGTAGAATAAAGTGGATAGGATAGAATAGAATAAAGTAAAATGGACTGATAGAATAAGATAGAGTGAGATGAATAGAATATGATGGAAAAGGTGGAATAGAATAAAATAAGATTAACTGGATGGAAAAGAATAGAGTAAGATGGATGGAATGGAAGGGAATGGAATAAAACAGAATAGAATAGAATGGAGTGGATAGGTAGAATAGAATAGAGTGAAATGGATAGGATGACTTGGTGAAAATTTAAAACTGATATGAAAGTGAAGGAGGGCGTAAAATGTATTTGACCCTCGTTTTGATGAATTCTGTTAATTTCAAGAATGGGAAAAGTGGACATTTGGATGATGTCCACATTGCTAGTCTTTTTAGGCAATTTCCGCTCAGTTTTCTTTTACATATCTTTTCGAGACTAAATTTGATGATTACAAACTTGACCGAATGATTAGAACTCAAAAAGTTTCGGATTCAAATATGACCAAATGGTGGAATTTCAGGACTAAAAAGAAATGCGAATGCAAATTGTTGATAATTCAAAAATAGCTAAGAAACACCACGGCAAACCTGGATCTTTTGGTCATTTTGGTCATTTTGGTTTTTGGTCATTAAGTCTAATTAACGCCGAAAGTTAATCAAGAGGTCATTAAGTCTAATTAACGCCGAAAGTTAATCAAGAGAGTAATTGATTCCAAAGATGAATATTGCAAAAGAAAAAAAAAGGTACAAGAGAGTGGTATTCTTCGAAATTCCAAAGCAATCAATTATTTCATCCAAGCAGACTTTGTAACATGATCGATCTATAACTCAATTTTTTGAACAGACAATTTATGGATCATACAAAAAACATTAAAAGTTAATTGAAATAGAAGATTATATGATACAGCTAAAACTTTTACTCTTTTGAACTTTGAACTTTATTGCATGTGCAATTCAGAGATGATGCATATAAGGATGATATAAGTGTTGAAGATTTTAAAAATGTCAAGCATACTTTGCATGATTAGACCAAACTTTATTAAATGGAAAAGCTATTTTGCTAAAATATCAACTTTTTCTTTTCTTTTCTCTCTCTCTCTCTCTCTCTCATTCTTTTTTTTTTCATTAGCGAAAAAAAAAAGTATCGGAATCTAAAGTCATATATATGCTGCTTCCCCTTTTCACTCATTTTCAATTATAAACTATATCCTGGGACATGTTAACTACCGTTTGTGAATTCCATTTGTCCCCGTTCTTTTTTTTTTTCTTTTTTTTTACCGCTAACTTGATATAATTAGATAGGTGTATCAATGATACAGTAAGATAGACATATCACAATGATACAGTTAGGAAGCATATTACAATGATATAATTAGATAGGTATATCACAATGATACAATTAGATAGGTATATCACAATGATACAATTAGATAGGTATATCACAATGATATAATTAGATAGGTATATCACAATGATATAATTAGATAGGTATATCACAATGATATAATTAGATAGGTATATCACAATGATATAATTAGATAGGTGTAACTAAAAAATTCTCTCACACTATCCCAAGTGTTATTCTACACTCCAAATTTCACAGCAATTGAAAATGGCAATATCGATGATGATAAATGAAATGAATCAATCGGCGTAACCGTAATTTAGACTGTTGAAAACATTCTTTT